GTGCTGGGGGATTGAACCGCGGTCCCTGATGCTTTTGCTAAGCTTGTTCTAAGTAGGTGCTTTAGACCACTGAGCCATCTCTCCAGCCCCAACATCCCCTTCTTTATAGGGCCAGGTCACCCTGCATATGGGACTTACTGTGCCAGCCCCAGAAGGTCATTCATTCCCTCAAGGGTCACTGGAGAAACACAGGCAGGCTGCAACAATATGGTCTGTTGTCACGTTCCTTGTTGGAGACTGTTGTTGGGAGGACAGCCCAGGCTGCAGGTTCCTCGTTGCCTGGACATGGCTGCAATTAGCAGGGAGGACGGCCCAGGCTACAGGTTCTTAGCTGCCTGGCCATGGCTATAATTAGTAGTTTCCCAGAGAAGGCCGCTCACGGGGTGGGGGTTGGCACCACCTCTGGAGAGTGCACGTTTTAGCTTTCCTGTGTTCTGTTCCATTTGCAGTTCTGGGGATTGAATTCAAGGCCTTGTGTTTGGTAGGGAAGTGATTTGCCATTGAATATACACCCAGTCCATTTGTCTGTCCATTCTTCATTTTTTCCTTCCTTCCTTCTTTTTTTTCATACTAGGTATTCAACCCAGAGCCACATACCCAGCCTGTTTTTATTTTTTAATTTGAGACAGGGTCTTTCTAATTTGCTAAGTTGCCCTGACTGGACTAGATTTGAGCTTCTCCTGCCTCAGCCTCCCAGAGTGCTGGTGATATGGAAGAAATGAAACTCCCGACCTGAAGGCTACCTGGGACAAGCTTGTGTTCTCTAAAATGGTAGAATGAATTTTAGGAGCAGAGGTGAATAGCATAATATTTATTGAGGAAAGAAAGCTTCTGTCTAAGAGAGAGGGACGGAAGTGAGGCCTGAGTAGGTTGTTCCAGGGAAGCTGTCTCTTCCAGGGACTTTTACAGAATAAAACCAGGTAGTGAGGCGGGTCTAAAGTGGAGAACGTGGGAACTCACTTAGGTGGGCATGAGGTAGGACAAAACTATGGTCAGCCAATGAGATTCCAAGCACTGTTGCTTAGGTAAAATTGATTAAATCCAGAACTGAATGGAGAAGCGAGTCACGTAGCAAGTGGGCATGAAAATAGCAGGAGTTTATCTGGAAGCTGGTAGCAATCGGATTAGTGACTTCCTGGCTTCCTTAAAGTGCTGATCAATCCCAGATGCTTATCTTTAGGGAAGTGGGCATT